CTGGACTGCTGGAACTGTTCCGGCTGGGGGTACGGGAGGCGGGCAGTGAAGGGCAGGTAGATCCCCCCGATCGCCACCGCTCCCAGGCAGCCAGTGAAATTCTCGGCTAGAAGGATCGGCGCGCTGTTCTTCAGGAAGTCCAAGCTCCCAGCATTTCCCTGCAGGGTCACGTTGTCAGACCCATCCAAACGAACCAGCCATCTGGAAGAAAGCGCAGCTGGCTCTTCCATGGACACAGCGACACTGTGCCAGGCACCGTCCGTGACCGGCTTCTGGCTCAGGAAGGTGACACCTTCGATGCCATTTCCACTCCTGATGTCAACAAGCAGGGAGGCGTTCTTAATGGCTACCTGGAGGGAATCCACTTCTTCCACAGCCCAAAGCAAAACTGCATCTTCATCCCTGGTTCTGAAATCCACGTGGATGCTGCTCAGAGTTCTCGTCACTGACGCATTGGTGGAAAATTCAAGGGCAGCCAGACTATTAAATGTGGCATTCGGCAGACCTATAAACGTGGGATTTGAGACGGTGTGGTGTTTGAGTCAGACCGACGAAAACCCCTGGCAGGTTCTCTCCCTTAAGAATCACGCAAGCTCAGGGCGAGCAGGATTACGGGCCTAGCTGCTGGCGTCCTTAAAGCTCTTCCTGTCTACAGCTGCACCTCTAATAATAACACCCAGCTCTATGTAGCCAGTTTTACTCATCAGTCTCACAATGCTGCACAGAAATACATCTACTCCCCTTCCACTGCCAGAAAAACCAGCACATCAATCCGGGAAGGAACAGACCCAAAGCTGCTGAGGCAGCAGCCAGTGGCAGAGCTGGGGACATCCCGGCATCCTGAGCCCCAGGACACTTTCTGGCCATGAGACAACAGTCCCACCACATCAGGGCATCGTTAGCTAATTGGTTTTCTTCATTCCCCATGGTTCTGCCTTAGGAGGAAATCGAGACACGTTTGCAGTCTTTAACTGGTCCTACTCGGTGAAAGAGCTAGGAACGGCCGAATGCCACAGAGCGCAGGACGGTCCCTGGCTGCAGCGGTTACGCAGGAGGCTGTCGCCCCGCAGAAGAGGGCAGGTCCCTCCCTGACCCAGTCAAAGGGCCAAGAACACCTCTGAGTCCCGTCCCTGCTCTGTCAGAAGCTGGTGGTAAATCCATAAGGTGCACGCTGCCTGTGGGAGCGTGTACCCGGGCATCCTTCTCAGCTTCCTCTCTGCAGCACGTGTTTACGTCTCTTGTGACGGTACACACCAGGAATGCTGCCTGTAGACAGTGAAGGGTTTTACCAACACGTAATGGGAGAGCAGTACTCACACACGTATCCTGCTAGGACATCTACACAGGTGGTAGCTTCAGGACACGGGTCACTCTCACACCAGACTCGCTCTTCACAAAACTTCCCGGTGAAATTTGCTGGGCAGCTGCAATGGAAATCGTTCCAAGTGACGAGGCATCGGCCACCATTCTGGCACGGTTCAGACTGAAAAACAGAAGAGTGGAATTTAACAGCAGCATCATTTATCTTCAGATCAAAGAGAATTTGGAAGAAGGAAAGGTGACACCACAGATTAGTATGAGCAGCGCTCCAATCAAGAAAGAAGGGTAATTAAAACAGAGACTTGGCAGCAGTGAAGGAAGAACAAGGGTCTCTGCACAAGGAATCCCCGAGACCATGCCTCCCCCTGTGTACACGGCCAGTCCGCAGGAATCCCTAGTGGAGCTCCGCCAGTTTGGGAAAGAACAAAGCACAAAAGCAAAGGGGAGAAACAGACAAAACAAGCTGCAGTGCTCCTGAAAACCTCAGAGTTCTGTCACGGGAAGGATACACCTAATACCAGCGGTGTCACCACTTTACAGCACCATGGAAGGGCAAAATTAGGGAGTATGGTCTCCCCCTCTTCACAGGACAGCTTCTGCTCTCGGGGCACCATTGAGACAGCTCCTTGAACTGTTTGTACTAAAGAGAGAAATTCCTGGGGGAGGAGGCTGTGCCATTGAAACTGGACGAAGGGAGGAGCGTGGAAAGGTCACTGGGTAGAGGGTGGAGCACGTGTGGGCTCAGCAAAAGGGAGACGGGCAGCACAAGGGCAGCACGGCCCAAGTTCTGCAAAGTGCAAAACCACAGGGGAGCTGGAGGAACCCTGGCGCTTACACCGTACGTCGTACACTGGGTGAGGCAGGAGCGTAAGGGACCACGTGTCCTTCAGTAAAGGACTCAAAAAAATTCTCATCTTCCCAGCATCGGCAAGGGTCAAACGGTGCTGTGATCACAGGGCTACGATAAAGAACTGCACACGCAGAGACAGCCAAGACGCCCTACCCTGCAGGTGTCGTCGGAGATGCAGCCATTCACAAGGTTGGCGTTTTGAGTCCCGCTGAGCTCCTGCGGCAGACTGTCGTTCTCAACCTGAAAAAACTGTATTTGGTGGCCACTGAGCTGGATGTCCTGCAAACAGCCTTTGAAGTAGCCGCCCCACACAGCAGCGCTCGCTGGGTCAGGATGCCCGCCAACATACGCTTCGTAACCCGCCAGCAGAGGTCTTGCTACCAGCTGTCCTAGCTCCAGGTACGTCCCCGACTGGTGAGCACCGACAGTTTCCCCGTGGAAAGACAGCTCCACCAAATGCCTTCTCCCGTCAACCACGTTCTCTGGGAAGGTGACAGTCTCCGCGGGTGACGTCTCTACCTTCAGCCTGCCGTTCTTCAGGTATAGGGTGAGGCAGGGCTCGGTTTCGTTGCCGATTTGCAATAGCAAACCGTCAGGTTTCCGACTGCGCATGAAAAAGGAGATGCTGAAGTTTGCTCCGAGGCTATCGGGAAGGGTGAAAGAGGCATAGCTGGTGGAATTCTCTAGGCCAAAGGTTGCTGCTGGGCGCTCTGGAAGAGAAAATAAACACACATCGGGTCAATGACAAGGGGATGCAGCTGGCACAGGGATATTTTAGGTTGCAACTCCCTAACAGGAGGGAACAGGGCAAGGCCTTTCCTCAGGACACCGCCAACACGATCAGGGTAGTTACGCCCTCTCTCCACACAGGTCTGTGAAATTAAGAAGCAGGTCAATGTGTCCTCACTTTCTCTGAGGGACATGAATCCAAGTACCCAAGTAGCAGAGGAAGGCACGTAGGTCCAGCAGAGTCCTTGTCACTCAGCGGATTTACTCCAGGACTTCCAAGCTACAAAGTTGCTTTTAAGATTAGTAAATTTGGTAACAGCAGAACAATTTTGTACTTGCCATGTTTAGGGCTCAGGAGTGAAACAAAAAGCTGGAGCTATATCAATATATGCAAACAGATGTGATTTTAACTCAAAATTGTCAAAGAGCTTCCTTTAACACCTTGTGTTTTATCTAGAAAGCAATACATTATTTACCTATAAAGCAATACATCCTTAACTCAGAAGCTTAAGATCAAATTTCAGAGTCACACACCTGCCCTGCCCCCTGCGATCACCCAGATCTGATACAAAGATGAGGTCAGAGCCTTTGGCTCCACAAGGAGTGGTATCTGCACCACAAAACTACGATCATTCCTGCAGGAGCACGTGACAGAAAAGGGATCGATGAGCATTTTCTTTACAAAGGGTTTTGCTTTAGCTTTCCAGTGGTTCAGTAGAAAGTACTGAGCCCAGAGCTAGCGTCAATGCTTACCTACTGTCCTTGGAGCACCGACCACGTGGCACTTACCGTGTGAGCAAGCTGGGCCTCCGTAAGGCCTGGAACAGTCGCACCGGAAGGTCGCCCAAAGGTCCACGCACCGCCCGCCGTGAAAGCAGGGCTGGGAGAGGCACCACTCTGTCCGGGCACAGCCCGGTGTCGCTGGGGACGATTCACCCACTGGCAGATCCACCGGGAGCACAGCTTCAGCATCCACCCAAAAGTCTTCCATGCAGCCAACAAAGCCTTGCTGGCTCCTCGTGTTGTTGGCCATTGGATCCTCAACACCTCCAATGTACGCGTTCAGGAAGGCATGCGGGATCCGGGCAGTGCCGTGCAGGACAGGAGAGCTCTGCAGGCAGACACCTGCGTCACAAGAGTCGTGCCAGAGCTTCAGCTGCACCCTGCTCTGCAGCACAACTTCAACCTTATGCCACTGGCCATCATCGACTCTCAGCTCCCCCAGGAGCAGCGGGTACCAAACATCCTCCTTCCTCAGTCCTGCATGCAGAATGCCATCCAGGAGCTCCAGGAACAAGTATTCAGCTTCGTGGCCTCGGTAAAAAAGGATAGCGCTGGGCAAGGTGGTTCGGAACCGGAGGGACACGCTGGCAAGCTGATCTCCTGCTACGTCCCTCCTGCTCTGATTGTTCACGGGCAGCTCAATGAGGAGATACCCTCTGGAAGCAAAGGAAAACGTTGTTGGTGTTGAGCATGTGGCATCATAGAAACCAGGCTGGCACTGGCACAGGTGGCCGTGGCTCTCAGCTTGGTAGGTTGGGATGCACAAGGCCTCATTTTGGCAGTCATGCGTCTGGCACCCAGTGAGCTGGACAGAGCAGTTCTTCCCTCCCCATACCATGCCATCCTGGCCAGGGGCACAGTGGCAGGTATAGTCAGCAATGCCATCCTCACAGACAGCTCCATTCTTGCAGGGACCCTCCTCACACTCATTGATGTTAACAGCACATTCCACACCTGCGAAAGAGATTTAGAAACGGGATCTCACTGCGGGGGACTGGGACTCCCTCCCCCAGAGCAAGGCTGCCAGGCACCGACCGCCCGCCCAGCACTGCGCTCGCTAAGCCACTCCCTTCAGGAAACCTCCAAAACACCCAGAGCTGCCAGCAAGAAGCTCTGTGCCCGCTACAGAGGGGCCTACAAAGCACAGAGCGAGAAGAACCTCTGCGCTGTCCTTCCAGATGCTGCAAAGGTGCTGTTGATGGAGCTTCAGCCAGTGAGGCTGCATCATCCAGCAGAACCCACTGTCCTCTCCCGGACAACCTCAGCCACGCCGGTGATCCGCAGCAGGGGATACTGAAGGGACAAAAGAGCACAGACGTGGGCTTTACGCTTCTCTCACACACAGCTTTGCTACACTGAAACTCAAGTCTATAGGTCTGAGCGGAGCTTGTTCCAGCACTGAAGTGGATCACCAGCCAGGGAAGTTATTGGAAAGCCTCAGTTAAGAAAATTCAAGTTCCCAGACATCCCTCCAGTTGTAAAACACCCACAAACCCCAGTTCGTTACCAGACGCCAAACTACGCGCGCTCCACGGACACTCGGCCACACTTGCACTGAGCCCATCTCAGTTCTGCCCAGTGCTGCAGAAGGGAACTGAGTCAAACGCGTGGCACCGGGGTTTGCCGGTCCCAGTACATGCATCCCGTGGGCTGAAGTCAATTACGAGACATCACGCTCCCATCTGGTTAATGGCAATCTGCTGTCCTTTTCCTGAGCGTCTCCAGACCCACAAGAGCCCTTCTGAACCGGTTCCCTTTATCTAGCTCCTAACATTGCTTTTCACTAATCTTCAGAGACAGCCACACAGATAAACTAAGCATGGATTATCCCGATAATAGTATTACAGGGGAATCTAGCTAGCAAGCACAACCAGGACAGCAGAAAGAAAAAGAAGGGATTCACACACAAAGGAGGGGAATCAAAACACAAAAGACATTTGCAAGGAAAAGCCACTGGACAGAATGTGCACGTCAGAGAGATTAACGAGTTTTTTTTAGATGGGGGAGATGGGGCAGTAGGGGCGCTGGAGCCGGACTGGATGTGTCAGTAAAAACCCACCACCCCCATCGAACCAGGGGCAGCTTGGCAAAGACACAGGCTTCCTGAACATACGTGCGATGGTCTGACCCCCTCACGGCCCCGCAACGCCGCGCAGGCAAATGCCCAGCACCCTGCTGCCTGACCAAGCTGCTTCGCCCTCTGCAGCCCCCGTTCAGCGCTGTTACCGGTGCTCTCTCTGCCAAGACTCCGCACCAGCTTCCAGCTCCACAGCGTCGCTTTGTGTCAGGGACGTAACTCGTACGGCGCTCTGCGAAGCAGTGAGAGAGAAGTGGAGGCTCTGGTAATGCCGCACTTCCCAGCTATGCTGGAGCTGTCCTGCAGGCAACACTCCCTCGGATTCCTCCAGGACATCGCGCTCTAATACTGTGAGCTAGGAGAGTACTGCCCTGTGGAAAAGCACTGAATTTGGCCAACGTCTGCCTTGAAGGGCTCAGGTGATGGACAGATTTGGAGCTGCTAATGCTACCTCAGCACAGCCTTTCTCCTCTGGCTATTAACACTGGGCCTGCTCAGCACACAGAACCTGGGCCGTGATCGTGCCTGTCAAGGAAGCAGCAAGGACAGAATTAAGGTTTCAGCACAAAGCTATGGCCTCACTTGAAGGAAGTATGTTGGGATACAGTATAATGGACACCTCTGAGCCTGGAGAATCCTAGTCTGGGGGAGCATGGGAATCCTTCAGCTGGAATTCAGGAAAAATCACTAGAGCTGTGTGGAGCGGGGTTTCTGAATTATCAGTGGGTTGGAGGGCTCTCAAAATTGCAAGAGGCAAGCCTGCAGTCAGATTTCAGGGAGAGGCTGTTAAACGGCGTCGGAAAGATGGTTTGGTACGGTGCCAAATCCTTGAGAAGCTGCTCCTTTCAGATCCGAGCTGTTGATATTTACCCGGGCCATGAGGAGAACAGAGTTGGTCTGGATAACAAAGGAGAGAGGCCGCAAAGCGCTGCTCTGCTGCGAAGGCCGGGAGCCCCGTTTTCCAGAATCACGTTCCCAGCCTGCTCTCCCCAGGAGCAGCAGCACCCGCAGGGCTGCTTCCCAGCCTCCCGACTGACACCCGTGGGGTGGTGCTTTCACACCAGGTGGCAAATGAGTCCCCACGGCGAGGCCACAACCCCAGGCTGGGGGCTAATTAGGCAGCAGGCTTGCCCAGGGGAGGCAGCCCCTTTGCTTCCTGAGATTATGTGTTGGGTGGAAAGAATAAGCTGACGGTTCAGGTCTTTACACACCGCTGTCTCACCTCACGGCGCACCCACAGCCGTGGGAGGTGTTTGGCAGCAGAAACAGGAGGGCAGCTCTTCCTAGAGGAACCAAACCCACAAGCACTGGCTTCACAGCTGTCGCTGGTTCTGCCAGCAGCCAGCCAGCCTTCACGGGACCGGAGCAGGAGGAAAGGGCCTCTAGAACAACACCTGATGTACTCCTGCCCTCCTAGAGGCCAGGGCAGTGCCAGATTTGAACGCGGAGCAGGTTTTAAAACAAACAGGTAACAGAGGAGACCGCACAAGAGTTCTACAAATCTGGCTAACATTC